GACTATTGTAACATGCTAATCTCAGCTTTCCCGTACAAAGCTTTTCCCAAATTCCTTCCCATTGTAAAAGCACTCCATTAATCAATCATTTCAAATCTGGCCGGTTTTGAAGTCTAAAATTTAAGAGCTTGTTGGAATGGAAGTGAATAATGACTTGAACATCAGTCAGTTCCTCACAAATCTGCCAAAATTATTATTTTTTTGTATCCCACGGAAGGAGAAAAAGCCATGAGGGTGAATAAATAATGACAGAATTGTATTTTTACCACATTTTTGTTGCCACCATTTTAAAAGTATAGTTTTAATTTTGCATCATACTAAAGAACACCCTTTACATTAATCACTGTAATGCACAGCCTCATGTGGCTTATTGCTTTAACATCAATTAGAAAGAGGACAATTCTTATCAGAGGAACACAGCTGTCACACCTCAGTTGTTGTCAGACACCTTTGTGTATTTAGTAGGTTATTTCAGTAGATATGTGTTAATAGTTAATAGCAGCTCTACCACAAAAAAAATGTACTTAATTTTCGTCAAAAAAAAGGGAAAAGAGGCATAGGGGAATACAAACACTGAATATTATGCAAACATGTAATTAAGTATGTGCTAAATAATATGCATACACTATACATTTAACCTCACTTTGTTTAAGTGTCTTTTCTGTTGACTTTGATTAAATACCCACCCGCAAATAACTTTCAGTTAAAGGGGTCATGACATGGATTTTTTTTTATATATGTTCCTTGAAGTTTACTTATAATGTTAATAAAGTTTTTTGCACAAAAAGAAAAAAACTAATAAATATGTGGGAAAACCCTCATTCTGACCATCTGTCTAAAACGACCTGTTTTAAAGGGGTCATGAACGGAGAAACCAAAATTTCCTTGATCTTTTGACATATAAGAGGTCACTATAAAAACATCCTGTAAGTTTCAGAACTCAAAACTTTCTCGTTAGTCTAAAAACAGCTTATATTGAAGGCAGTCTGTCAAAAGGACAGCTTGTGGAATGTACTACTCTATGATGTAATAGTGTGCATAAGCACCACCTCCGCAGAAGAAGACCGACATCACTGCTTGTTTAGCCCCGCCTACCGATTCATGCATGCAGTGGAGAGAGGCGAACGCGCAGGTCTACGCAGAAACCAAATGATAAAGATGCTCTGAAGAAAACAAGACGCTGTGCAGTGCCAAGTTGTGGGGGGAAAAAAATTGTATTTGCATTGCCTTCCTTCTGATCCCAATGTTAGGAAAGAGTGAATGAATGCATCAGTAAGAACTCCTTAGTTCACTTAATTTTACCGCAGCTTCGTTTACAAACAAGGCACAATTCGACTCAGGATTTTCAAAAAGATTGAAACTAAAAGACGATGCTGTGCCGGCTATATTGGATTGAACACAAGTGTGAGTAACTGTTTTCATTATGTGGTCACTATTGCTTTGTCTGTTAAACAGATTGTTTGATATGAACTGTTTATTTATGCGTTTTTAATCTAAATCACAGCAGCGTCCATCTATGAAGGGTGTAGACTGTCAAAGACACAACTATTAGCCAATCATAGCAATCATAGCGAGTCTACAATCAGCCATGCCTATTCAAACAGAGCGTTCTGATGAGGGGGGTTAAAAACAGGGCAGAAAATAGCTTATTACTTCTAAATTATGTTTTTTTTATGTAAAAATATTGATAACATTATAAGTGGACCTCAGAGAACATCACAAAATAAAAAAACAGAGGCAGTTCATTACCCCTTTAAGGGGCGGGTCCTTTAAGGCTTGTCAGGAATCAGCCACTGATTTGATTGGCTAACGTCATTGCATAGGAAACCGTATCAACACCCCCTCATTATTGCATGCAAGTGTTTTGACAACATGATCAAAATAAAATGGTCATTTCCAGACAAAGCATTATGAAATCATTTACTTACAATTTTTGATGCAGCTGCAGTCAGCTCTAGTACCGCTTCATCTTTCAACACGGTTCTTTGTGAACTCTCCATGACACCGTGCCTCATTTACAAAACAACATGCTCCAATCAATCCTCTGACACGATCCGGGATGCCATTTAAAAATAAGCTATCCACTTGTTCCTTACGCTGCGATCCTTCTGATATCTGTACAAGGATGCGAACGAGCCGTTTAAGCTCCATTTGTCTGAAAGCGAATGTGCACCTGTATACTGTATCCAGTGTAGACAAGATAGCCTATGACTATTCGTCGATGTCTTGCTCTGGAGACAGTTTGGAGGCTTGTTTGTGCCCGGGTGATGTTATCTCGCACCTCAGATCCGAACGAGCCGTTTTTGGAGCTTGATTTAATAAATGCTTTGTTTATTATGAGGAGGGCGTTTTAAAGGGTTAGTTCACCCAAAAATGAAAATTCTGTCATTAATTACTCACCCTCATGTCGTGCTAAACCCGTAAGACCTCGGACCACAAATTAAGATATTTTTGATGAATTCTGAGAGCTCTCTGACCCTCCCATAGACAGCAATGTAATTACCACGATCAAGGTCCAGAAACATAGCAAGGAGATCGTTAAAATAATCCATGTGACATCAGGGGTTCAACCGTAATTTTACGAAGCTACCAGAATACTTTTTGTATGCAAAGAAAACAAAAATAACGACTTTATTCAACAATTCGTCCGCGTGATGCAGCTGACACAGAATAGCATACACTGTTTGCGTTCAGTGGATACTCTCCAAAATGGCACCAGGGTGACGCGGAGTAGAGACGAAATGTTGAATAAAGTAATTATTTTTGTTTTCTTTGCGTACAAAAAGTATTCTCGTAGCTTCGTAAAATTACGGTTGAACCCCTGATGTCACATGGATTATTTTAACGATCTCCTTGCTATGTTTCTGGACCTTGATCGTGGTAATTACATTGCTGTCTATGGGAGGGTCAGAGAGCTCTCAGAATTCATCAAAAATATCTTAATTTGTGTTCCAAAGATGAACGAAGGTCTTACGGGTTTAGAACGACATGAGGGTGAATAATTAATGACAGAATTTTCATTTTTGGGTGAACTAACACTTTAAGCTATGAAACTTGCAGGATGTTTTAATGGTACAAAGACCTCTTATACTCTAAAAGATCAAGGCAAATTTTATTTCTCATGTCATGACCCCTTTAAACGTCACATTTCATTTTTATTTCTATTGCTGAAATTCGAATGCTGAACATGCTTCTCCAAAATGTTCTTTTTATGAGAAGCTAATAATTCATATCTGAATCGTCTTGCTTTTTAGCTTCATGTTTAATGTGAAAGGGCCTTCAGTTGTAGGACTCTAGGCTACATTTAAATCTATATCTGTTATAATGAATCGCTGTGGATGATTCATTGAATTTTGATGATTTGTGAAAGAAGGTAAAAAATGATGACAATTTCCCTGGATAATTGCCAATGTGTCAAATGGCATAAAAGGCCCCTGACTGTATTTTTCACATCTGATGTGACACATATTAATTAAACACGGCTGGAAATAGCATCTTCGACAATCACAGAGTGAGCTGCTCGGGAAATAAAGTAATGTTCAAATATAGACTGCGCGCTTGCTTTCACTGGCAGGTGTCTGCACAAGAGACCGGCCAGAAAGCATAAGTGATAATTGACATGGCATCCCCAGCATCAAGGACTGTAGATGAAGGCTTCCTATTGTGACATGCTAGAGAGCATCCTTCATGGAAATGGACCTCTTCTCAGCTTTCCCGTTCAAAGCTTTTCCCAAAATTCATTCCCATTAGTGGTTGCAAGAGTGCTCCATTAATCTACAATGGGAAACAACAAAAAAAGCAGCCAGTTGCACCATCTACAGATGGAGAAAACAGACAAGAATCCAAAATCATCTTGCTATTTCGTCATCTATAATTGAGATTGACGTCACTGAGGTCATTTGCAAATCATACATTAGAAAATATCTCAATAATTCCTTGCTTGCTATTTTTAATCTTTCTTTTAGTGTAAAATATTGCTGTTTGTGCATGTAAACAATCTAAAAAAAGTTATATCCATGGCAAAGGAAGTTCATCTCTCTAGTAGAAAACACCACAACAACTGTCGTTATTTCAAATTCAAATTCAATTCAGAAAGTTTTATTGTCTATCCCCAGTGGGGTAGAAAATTGTCTTTAGACAAAAGGCTCAACACACAAACAATACAAATAATCACTAAAACAAATTAGCATTGCATACATCACTTTAAAAATACAGCTGTAATAATACATAAAAATCCATTTCAAGATCCCATTTAAAATACCAAAGTCTTCTTATTCTTGGCCTTTTTCACCAAAGGCACTTCATACCGTCTGCCAGATGGAAGTAACTGAAACGAACTATGCAGGGGATGAGAAGAGTCTTCCACACTAACAGAGGGTTTCCTTTTTAATGCCACAGTAGAGATCAGTGAGAGGTGTACTTGTCTCTCACCAATTATTTTACTCGCCACGTTTATAATCCTTAAAAGTCTGTTTTTGCTTTTTACAGAAAGAGTTAAACCAGGATACAATATTACAAGTAAGAACAGATTCAATACAATAAGTGACTTATATACAACTATCAGAATGTCGTTTTCAATGTTAAAACTCCTCAGCTTTCTCAATAAGCCTAAACATTGATAAGCCTTTTTTAAAACATTGTCTGAATGCTTATCAAATGAAAATTGGGAGTCAGTCTCTGTACCTAAATATTAAAAAAAAAATCCCACCTGTTCACCTTCCTCTCCATTAACTAACAAAGGTTTGCAATGTGCTCGTACATTATTAGCCCCACAACACATTTCTTTAGTTTGACTAATATTAAGCTGCAAAGAACTCTCCTCCTTCCAAATTTTAATAAAATTAACAAAATTGAGGTAGGTATCTAATGACAGAATATCCTTTACACGTCCCACCAGCGCCATATCATCTGCATATCACAGGTCATTTCGTTTATAGAAATAGAAATTTCCGTGACTTAGTTACCTCATCAGGTTACACATTTGAATAATGCCCGCCTACTGCCCTCTAAGGACAGTTGGGTGAATGATTTAGCCATGACAAGGAGACGTTAGTTTATATGCCATATAATACCGTTTACAGCTGCTCATGAAGCCTCAGGAGCTGAAACCCGATTATGGTAAGAGGCATAACATTTCCGATGCATAAGTGGTTGACCAATCACAACAGACTAGGCCATTTGACCAATCAGAGACAGGCTTTAAAGAGTAGAGATGAAACGGTTACATGTTTGACGATAAACCACAATAAAAAAAGTCCCCACAGTAATAAAAACTTTGTTTTGGGTCCTCTGACCTGACATGACAGAAAGCACAGTGCAGAGAGAAAATATGAAATAATATATGAATTAATGAATAAGATTATTGCATATGGCTCAACTGACCGGCTTTTCCATGGCATTTGCTTCTCATCTTCTCTTCGTGTATTGCCTGCTGATGCAGTGTTTTTAAGTGCAGCGCTGCTTTGTTTACAGAGGTTACTGGGGAAACAATTCTATTTCTGCTGTTCCATAAGCGCCACCTGCTGTCAGACAGTGGGTTTACATTCTCATTCAGTCTGCCTGCCATTTCTGTTCAGACCAGATTTTTTTTGTAAATCTTAAACGGCAGATGGAAAGCAAGCTAATGCTTTCTAAAATCCTCAACACTTTGCATAATAAGATAGCTTCCACTTGTTTATGGAGCAGATAAAATGCCTATAATCTGTCATTTTGACTCATCCTTTTCCTAAACATTATCATTTTAAATAAGTTTAAAATATGGCCATCTGTCAGTCCTGTGTCTTGTGTTTTCCTCCCCCACGTGCTCCATGTTATATTTATGCCCTTATTTGGTCTTCCTGTTCCTGCCCTGATTGTGTTCATTTGTTTCCAGCTCTGTTTTCCCTCATGTCATCATGTTCATTGTTTCCAGGTGTTCCCTCATTAGTTTCCATGATTTAAGCCCTGTGTGTTTCCATGTCTAGTGTGCTGTCTTGAATGTCGATCCCGTGTCCTAAGTGTAATTCCCTAGATGTCAATAAAGACTGTTAATTATGATTCTCCTGTGTTCTCCTCGTTCCTCGCTCCTTGTTCCTCGCTCCTCACCATAAGCACACCGTGACAGTAGACAGCACCGTAAACAGAAAGTAAGCGGTGCCCCTTCTCCCCGTTTTTGTTTTAGTTTTAAAGTTTTTTTGTTTTCCTTTGCTCCCCCCGCGATTATGGAGATCGCGGCACGCTTCATTGCCCTAGCCCGTAGAGATCTCCCCTTCGTCGAGTATGCCAGAGAGCTCTGCGGGCTCGCCGCGGCGACGGCATTAGATGACGCCACCATCAACTCTTTGTTCTGGCACAGGGTCAACTACCATCGCCCTGTGGCCCTCCCAGACACCACGGGACTAAGCTGGAGGGAAGGGATCCTCCGTTGTCTGGAGA